GCGCCGTGTGCTATTACAACCCACTTTTGTCCTATTACATCGGCACCCAATGTGCCACTGATGTAGCCTATATACAACGACCACGGGACTTGGAACGGTGTGCTATTACAACCCACTTGTGTCCTATTACATCAGCACAAAATGTGCCACTGATGGAGCCTATATACAACGACCACGAGACTTCGAGCCGTATGTTATTACAACCCAACTGGGTCATATTACGTTGACACCAAATGTGCCACTGTTGGAGCCTATATACAACGACCTGGGTCCTATTACACTGGCAACAAACGTGCCGTTGGTCCAGTTCATTGTTCAAAATGCTGGAATCCCAAATGAGCGCAGAAACCTATATAAAAACTGTGCATTGTATTTAACAAAAGGCAGCGAGAGGAGGTTCAGCGTTGTTCACTATATTCGTGCCTTGGACGCGCATGTCCCATGCAAGGTACCTTTACACAAACTCGTATTCATTGGCTAAAATATAATAGTAGTGCGCACATATAGTCTACTGTCGGGTAATTGAATGCGAGTTTCTATCGGAACAAGTTTTTTCCTTTGCGTTTTCTTTACTGGGCTGGTATCCATGTCGACGCTACAATGAAGTGAAAATGGGAGTTTAAATTGCACCGAATAGCTTGCTTTGGCACTCTATTCTGCACAATACCTCTGTTTGAGGGGAACTCCACGGCTCCTTTTCGACAAGCTATAGCTGAAAGGCAAGGAAATAGATCACTAGTATTAGAGCACGTGCAATATGGGTACGGTTTGTTGATTTGTACTCAGATTGGCGGTAATCTCATCCCGACTGTCTGCGCAGGAAATAGTTATACTAATTCGTTGGCGCGAATTTGAAACGGTGCGTATTTTTCGCGTTGCTGTTCAGATTTTCGAAAATTGCGTATATCCACTTTGTCGGTCTTTTTGTGTTACTAATCAGTAGCACAATATATTCTATACTACCTCCCTCGTCGCTTTTGCAACCCTTCGTCGTTTTCCGTGTCTTACCCATTTTTACGGTTTTCACGCTGTCTATTGTTTTGTCATTCTCTGTTTACTCCTGACCAATGCGTGCTAAACGTTGTAATCCCTCTCTCTCCTCAAAGAGAGCAGTGCAGACAGTAGCAACGAGAGCACCCTCAGCATTATCATCCGTGGTGAAGGATTGCAGGGTCATGCTTGATGACCCACTTAGCGCAGCTCAAGTCAAAATTCACCAATTAGAAAATGAGCTTAGCATGCTTAAAAATGAGCTGCTTACGATGACTGCAACTTTGGAGAACCTCAAACCACTGTCGGTGCTGTCGGGATTAATGAAAACTGATAACCCAAATGAACTGAACGCCGCTGGCGAGTTATTAGCAGTACTTAGCGACGAAGTAACGGAACGTGTACGTCGTTCCCAGAATGCCGTCATATTCAATGTACCTGATCGCTTGTCACTTGAAAAAGTGAAACGTTCTCTTTTAAGTGCATGCAACACACCACCAGATTGCTGTGCATGCAAACGGCTACGCAAGTCTGGTAAAACTCGCACTTGCCCCATAGTTTTGACTTTCCCTACTCCACAACTTGCTGAAACATTTATAGGCCGTAGGCTGATTGTGTCTATGGTGGCAAACCTTGGGCCGATTATCATTAAACCTGACAAAACCCCACTTCAAAGATCCTTAATGTCGTCAACCAAGCCAGAGGGCAAGCGCAATGCTATTATTGACCCATCTGCAAATTCTTCGGCTAAACCGACCATCGTGCCAGTGATAGACCTCGACTTGTCTCCAAACCAAAGTCTCACTTCGGATGCGAAATCTGCAACGGTGCGAAGCTTGCCTTGGACTGAAGTCAATGCAGGATCTTCGTCTGCATTGGCTGCTATAACCATCGATTCTTCTAGCGATGGGACTTATGGCTACTCAGACATGCATGACACTCATGCCGCACCTGGTCAACCATCTAATTGCATTCTTAACTGGGTATCTAACTTGGATACTCCACTGCCTGCTGTCACTGACCCTAAGCAGAAACACTCTCTCACCGCGAAACCCATCATAACAGGAAGCTTCTTTCAGCCTGCATTGAACAGGTCGTTTTCACCCTCACTCTCTGCTATTGCCGCTGATACTGCAAGTGCTATGTCAGATAGCGATTCGGACATGAGTGTCGAGTCTACTATTGGCCTTGTAGGCCAGACTTATAAGCCTGATTCTGTTGTTTACTTGCCTATTGACAACAATCAGCTTAATAGTCGCAATCGGCCTAAAACCCCAAAAGCCTCGAACAACTCACGTCAAGCCAACAACAGGAAACGCTCTAAAGCATGGCTTTCAACCCCTGCGTGGCACAGAAACAACGCCTATTCCAATATTCACAACGCAGAAGCATTGAAGCGCAGATACCCGCAGCCATCATCTCCATTTATGAATGTAGTAACGCCCCAAGGCATCCCACACCGAAAACCTTATCTACTTGAAAAGCCCGATTCTTCCGTTCTGCTGGACCATGACAACAACGGATCCAAGAGTTTTACTTGGCTCCCAACTCAGAGAACCTTGAAAAACTCACGCCAACCTACCAACAGAGATAGCCACAAAGCACGGCTATCAAAGCCAATGTGGTACCATCACACCGTCAAATCCAATAATCAGAGTGCACATGAACAGGAGCCCAAATCGCCGCAAAAGTCACCTTCAGTTACGAGTGTGGTAATGCCTCAACGCATCTTCTCACCTCACAAGCCTTATCTACTTGAAAAACCACACATCACAGGGCTCGATCGCGGCCGCAACCGTACCAGTGTAAGCAGCGCCACTTCACCATATCTCCATACAGTTTTACATACACCATCCGCGCCGGCGAAGCAACTTGCTAAACAAGTCATTTCTAGTCGCAACACCGCTCACTTGCAATCACATGAGCTTCATATGTCACGGACGAGGCGTAGTCGGACGCAGCCGAAGGGTTTACTTAATAAGGCGAGTTACCCACCTGCGCCACTGACGTCTACGCAAGACGACCGTACAAACCAGGCCAAATACGCACCTCATCCAAGGCAGTTTACCTTAGCCCCCAAGAATTCTACCCCTTTTTTATGGGGCAATGCGGGACACGGCCCGCCTTATACATACCAACCAATACAGTTCCATCTAGCACAACTTTTGCACCTTCTGCAAACAGCAGTCTACAGCCAGTCACAACTTCATGGCTGCCTTCTACCGACCCACAGTTGGTAACCATCAAACATTCCACCTACGAACGTTCTCCTGAACAAGCCAACGTCGTGCCAATTCAGACAGAATGCCTTGCCACTTACCAATTCCCACACTACCCATTTCTTCATCAGGTTGCTAGCCAAGTAACTATCACCTACCCATCTTCTTTTCGCCCTGATGCTGTCTATTCACACCCCACTTTCACTCCGGCTCCAGCTTCTGTCTTGAACACATCTAAGTGTCTGTCCCCATATCCACACCATTCCGCGCCTTTGTTACCCCACATCCTGGGCACCATGTCAATTTTTGCCAATGCAGATAGAGCTGCCCAAATCTTTCCAGCCTGTCACAACCCCCCTCTTATGAAACTTACCGGGACACGGCCCGCTAAGTCACATTCTTCAAGCACACACACCCTCCCTCGCCGACATCTGCTGACTCCTACACCTGTAAGAGTTTTCCCCATACCAGTAGCACCAGTACTTGCCGCCACATCGCCTGATGTATGCAACCCGGGAACTGTAGATTACAGTGCATCGGAAACGCCTCCACCACTGTCTTGTTACGACCCTACTACAGAATCTGTCGACCCAATGACGGGACGATGCGAATACGACTCGTACACTCTCCTCCTCCTCAATGTACGATCAATTAAAAATAAAATGCACCTTCTAGGCCCCTTCATCCTTCTGTCAAGCCCGCATGTGGTGTTGATAACAGAAACATGGCTCTCGGCCGACGCTTCTGACGCACCGCTCCACATTCCAGGGTACACCACTTTCTGTAATGGACGTGCCAGTAAACGTGGTGGCGGATGCCTCATATACGTCAAGAAGGAGTTTTACGCATCTTCTTTCCACACTATATCTCTTGGCAACTCTGAAGATTCAGTCTGGATTCAAACCGTTGGAGGTCATCCGGACCTCTTGATAGGCTGTTTATATAATCCACCGCACTCCTCTTGTGCTAGCGTTAACAAATTGGACAGACTCTTTCAGGAAGTCTCATTTCTCCCTTCACGCTTTAAGATCATTGCTGGAGACTTCAATATGCCTCATGTTTCGTGGCTCGGACAGTCGGCCCCACCTAAGTATAGGGCCCTTGTTGACACTATTTCCACTCATGAATGGACACAGCATGTGATTGCACCGACTAGACAATCGAACACACTGGACCTTATATTCACTAACGGCATCTCGCACGCGTGCGCCAGCGTGTTAGACAACATACCGGGCAGCGATCACAAGGTGGTGAAGCTGTCCTTCGCGCTCCCTAAATCCCGTCAACATGCAGTCACGAAATATGAGATATTTCGGCCCCTCCAGCGCATTAACTGGGACATCTTCTCCTCCCTCCTCCGATCATCCCCCTGGGACGACTTCTTCCTCTCCGACAACATAGATACTGCGACCAACGTGCTTTACAACAATTTCACTAACTGCTTAGATGTCCTTACTCCAAAACAGAAGAAAATCAAAAAGCGTCAAGATCTTGATGACACTTCCACACGCAAACTGACCAGCAGGCTCAAGAAAATGCGCTCCCGCTACTTCAAGACCAAAAGCTTTCACCTAATCATCCGTATGAACGAATTGTTAGTCGACTGGAGAAATTCACAAAGTACTGCGCGTACATTAGTAGAGCATGCAGCGCTTTGTACTGAAAACAAAGCAAAGTCTCTCACTCGACTACTGAAGCAGCGGGGTGGCCGAAAAGATATCCCGATTACTACCTTAGTGCTTCCTGATAAAAGTATAATCACTGGTGCGGCTGATCTCTGCGAGTTCATTAACACACATTTCTGTAACTCCTTCACTAGCAATGACTTGGCACTGCCAAATACGATTCCCAAGTTCACTGAAGATCAAATTCATACTATTGACTTTGACTTATGCACTATCAAGCGAGCGCTTTGCTCGTTGAAACTGTCACACTACCCAGGTCCTGACGGTATGCCTTCTTCCATTTTAAAACTCGGAGGTCCGGACATTCCAGTCCTTCTCCTCAATGTCTTCACCCTCTCAATGAAGAGTGGTCACTACCCGTCCAGCTGGAAGCACGCAACCGTCATACCACGACACAAACGAGGCTGTCGCCTAAATATTGACAATTATCGTCCCATCAGTCACACAGCTATTGCGTCTCGACTCATGGAAAGAATAATAAAGGACGCGATGCTTTGCTTTCTGTTGCCACGCAACCTTATCAATAGGTCCCAACACGGGTTCTTGCCGACTAAATCCTGTCAAACCTGCCAGTTTGAATTCTTAAACCACGTGACACACTCCATCGACCTAGGTCATTCACTGGTTATTATCTTCCTGGACATGAAAAAAGCGTTTGATCGGGTCCCACACAATGGTTTAATGACTAAACTAGCAGCATACGGTGTCTCCAGCCATCTCCTTTCATGGTTTTCTTCCTACCTTTCCAACCGAACGCAGTCAGTGCAACTGGGCGACATCTCATCCAAAAAGGCATCCGTAACCAGCGGAGTATTCCAAGGCAGCGTCCTGGGTCCTCTGCTGTTTTTGTTGTACATTAATGATGTATTCCAGGTCTTCAAACACGGCACGCCGTACCTTTTTGCCGATGACATAAAAGTTATTTTCTCATTTGACCCTAGCTGTCTACGTAATAGTCTCTCTAGCATTCAAAGCGATCTCAGTGCTCTTGAAACATGGTGCGATCTATGGAAACTAGAGTTTTCACCAACGAAATGCAACGTCCTTTCCTACCGATGCTGTATACCCCCCAAACTATTAACTCTTAACGGTACACCACTTGATAACAGCTTCACTGTGCGCGATCTCGGTGTACACTATTCCTGTTCATTGAATTTTGCGGAACAAGCGAGCTATAGCTCTGCCAAAGCCAGGTCTATCATTGGTTATATACTGAAGTCAATGTGCTTGTTAGAGTCTCGACTCATGCTCTATAAGTTGTGTGCCAGGCCTATAGTAGAGTACTGCTCAATGGTTGTTACTAACTCACGTAAAAGTGACAGGATGGTTATTGAGAAAGTCCAGCGTTCGTTCACTAAACGTCTATTAGGAGCGTCTGCGCTCAACTATCAAGGCCGCTGCAAGCAGCTTGGTCTGGAACCGCTTTGGCTGCGACGTCTCAAAACCAACCTTGTTTTCCTATATAAGCTAATCAAAATATCGCACTCAAGTGCCGCTAGTTTTTTTCAGCCGCCTGGCGATACACGTTATCCTCTACGCCATAAGGCACACTCATTTTCCCTACCCAACACACGTTGCTCCATACGTTCTAACTTCTTCCTCTATAGATATGCGCATGTCTGGAATAAGCTACCGGAAGCCGTCAGAGCATCTGATAGTATCACGCAATTCTCCACGGCCATATATAGACTATTAAGCGTCCCCAAGGTAGCCGAGATCCTGGGCATCTGCATCCCCGAGGACGAGCTCTGGGAGAACGGCCCCGATCACATATAGACACAAATTCTTCAATCAGCACTAATAAAGCTCCCTTCCTTCCCAAACTGTCCGCTCCTTATCGCGCTCTTTCCTTTCATTCTCTTACAATCGGATGGCAACTCAGTGCCCTGCATGACCTAGTCTCATTTGACCAGTCTGACTGCATCCATGACTACAGAGTTGCAAATGGTCTGGGACCTGCAGTCAATGTTAAGCCTAATACACCTTGACAGTCTGCTGGAATCGCTTACATTTATGCAGTTTATTCCTGTCCATTTCTGCTGCCCCTCCCTATTTGTCTTCTAAAATAAGCTGTTGGACTCAATCTCGCTTCGCCGACTAATCCTGTCTCGTCTGGTCGGTCTCCTGCTTTCCAACTTCTCTCAGACTCCTACCTGACTTGCATACCTTATACTCATGTAGCCTCCTGCATCCCAAACCTATCCGTCTCTGCTGACTCTTTATTCATCTTCCTTCCTTAACTGTTCGACTTACTCTCAATTTGCCGACTTAACCAGTCTCGTCTGATCGGTCCCCTGCTCTCCGAATTCATTCAGACTGCTGTGACGTTACCGGCATTGAATGAGAAGTGCGAACGCTCTGTCCCCATTACCTCTCGAGCCCCATGGACTTTTCCACACCTTATAAGTAAACCTCTCCCTATCCGGACCGTCTCCTTATGACGTTCTCTACTTTCAAACCTTCTCTAATCGGACTGCCAACTCTCAGTGCCCTGTAATAACCTAGTCTCATCTGACCGGTCTGCTTCTTTGACCCTTTCCAGACCAGCAACATTTAAACGGTCTAGACTCTGTAGACTCAAGCTATATCGCACTTACGTTGACAGCCTGCTAGACTTGTTCACCCTCTATTTATATAGTCACCTCCACCTCTCGACCCACTCCATTTGCCCTCCAAAAATTAGCTGTTGGACTCAATGTCGTTTCGCCGACTAATCCTGCCTCGTCTGTTTGGTCTCCTGCTTTCCAACTCCTCTCAGACTCCTGTGACACTACTAGCCATCGTTCAGATGACTGAGCGCCGTTCGTATCCAATCATTCTTCTATTGGAAGATTGAGTCTCTGTCATCCGTAGCTCAGCCTCAGCTGATCAGCCAAATTCTATGGGACTGCTACCAGGCTACCGGGATGTTAGCGGTCTAGGCTCCGTCGATCCAAAGCACTTTCTCCCTCACCTTGATATCCTGCTGAACTTGTTCGCCCTATGTTGATATAACCACTTTTATCTTTGACCAGTCCGCTCCTACTGACTCCACTTACCTTCCCAAATGAACCATAGGACTCAATCACAATGCGCCGACCAAGTCCAACCTTGGCAGATCGGTCCTCTTCTCTCCTACTTCTGCGACGCTGCCTGCTATGCTCGGAAGCCTGAATGCTCTGTCACCATTACCTCTAGAGCCTCGTTAACTGTCGCATTTCATATCCGTAAACGTAAACTCTTAACTCTGTCCTCTCCTTATCGCGGCCTGTCTTTATTTCTTCTTCATCCGCATAGCGAGCTCTCAGAGCCCTGCCCTATTATCCTCTTTGACTGCTTCCTAACTAGCGAAATGTAGTTTTAGGCTCTGTATCACCATCACACAACTTCTCTCACTTTGCGAGCCTGCCTGACTTGCATACCTTATATTCATGTAGCCTCTTGCATCCCAAACCCATCCGTCTCCGCTGACTCTTTATTTACCTTCCCACCTCAACTGTACTACTTACTCTAAGTGTGCCGACTAATCCAGTCTCGTCTGATCGGTCCCCTGCTCTCCGAATTCATTCAGACTGCTGTGACGTTACCGGCATTGAATGAGAAGTGCGAACGCTCTGTCCCCATTACCTCTCGAGCCCCATGGACTTTTCCACACCTTATAAGTAAACCTCTCCCTATCCGGACCGTCTCCTTATGACGTTCTCTACTTTCAAACCTTCTCTAATCGGACTGCCAACTCTCAGTGCCCTGTAATAACCTAGTCTCATCTGACCGGTCTGCTTCTTTGACCCTTTCCAGACCAGCAACATTTAAACGGTCTAGACTCTGTAGACTCAAGCTTTATCGCACTTACGTTGACAGCCTGCTAGACTTGTTCACCCTCTATTTATATAGTCACCTCCACCTCTCGACCCACTCCATTTGCCCTCCTAAAATTAGCTGTTGGACTCAATCTCGTTTCGCCGACTAATCCTGTCTCGTCTGTTTGGTCTCCTGCTTTCCAACTCCTCTCAGACTCCTGTGACATTACTAGCCATCGTTCAGATGACTGAGCGCCGTTCGTATCCAATCATTCTTCTATTGGAAGATTGAGTCTCTGTCATCCGTAGCTCAGCCTCAGCTGATCAGCCAAATTCTATGGGACTGCTACCAGGCTACCGGGATGTTAGCGGTCTAGGCTCGTCGATCCAAAGCACTTTCTCCCTCACCTTGATATCCTGCTGAACTTGTTCGCCCTATGTTGATATAACCACTTTTATCTTTGACCAGTCCGCTCCTACTGACTCCACTTACCTTCCCAAATGAACCATAGGACTCAATCACAATGCGCCGACCAAGTCCAACCTTGGCAGATCGGTCCTCTTCTCTCCTACTTCTGCGACGCTGCCTGCTATGCTCGGAAGCCTGAATGCTCTGTCACCATTACCTCTAGAGCCTCGTTAACTGTCGCATTTCATATCCGTAAACGTAAACTCTTAACTCTGTCCTCTCCTTATCGCGGCCTGTCTTTATTTCTTCTTCATCCGCATAGCGAGCTCTCAGAGCCCTGCCCTATTATCCTCTTTGACTGCTTCCTAACTAGCGAAATGTAGTTTTAGGCTCTGTATCACCATCACACAACTTCTCTCACTTTGCGAGCCTGCCTGACTTGCATACCTTATATTCATGTAGCCTCTTGCATCCCAAACCTATCCGTCTCCGCTGACTCTTTATTTACCTTCCCACCTCAACTGTACTACTTACTCTAAGTGTGCCGACTAATCCAGTCTCGTCTGATCGGTCCCCTGCTCTCCGA